AATCACGCCGTCAGGGCTTCCTTGTTTTGTTAGGAGCTGGGATGGCCGCCCGCCACGCTCCCTCCGCCCGGCCCCTCCATGGCTCCGGCCAGGCACGGTGCCGCCGGGGGACCTGTCGGCTCCAGAGAGCCTTTCCCAACCCACTTTGATTGCTTTATACCGGGGGCAGCCTGCAGCAGGGCCAGCCCGCGGTGCTGCTACAAGCCGCTCTTTATCCGGGGACAGGACTGGTTTGTTTCAGGCAGCCCACTGGGCGCGAGGAGGATGATGGAGCCCCCAGCAAGGCCTTCCTCTGCTCCCCGTGCTGCCCTCCGCCATGCCGGCACCCACCGCCCCAAGCAAACGGGGATGTCCCCAGTGCACTGGGGCAGCTGGGGTCTCACTTTGCTGACTGTGATGCATCCCCTCCCCGCTGGCCTGTCCCCATCGCCACTCTGCCACTGTCCCAGCTCCACGTCTGGGGACATCTCCTGGGGCAGGAGGGCATAAATCCCCTGCCTGAGGTCAGGCAGAGCTGGCCTTGCACGATGGAGGGGCCGATGGCTTTTTGCCCGGGTGTCCCATGGGGACAAGCAGGATGGCGGGGGCTTGGGGTCACGCAGGAGCACGCTGCCCTGCACCATGTGTTCCCCATCTATCTGCTGCCTAAAGCCCTCCCAGGCGAGGTGTAAATCTCCCTGTACTTACAAACAGCATTAGGGGATTACCTGGGCCTGGAGGGAGGGGGATTTCCCATCCCACCGTCCCTTGGCACAGCATGGGGCTGACCTTGGTCCTCCCATCCCACCAGCCCATGGTGTCCCCCACCATCCTTCAATGCCCCATCCCCTAAAAGCCTCTGCTGCAGGGGCTGACCTTGCCGGGCTGGTGGCACCTGTCGGACAGGGCCACGTGGTGCCCAAGCTGCCCCAAAACCCGGCTAATCCCGGTGCCTGCAGCACCCCAGCTCCACTTTTACCTCTCGGCACCTCCTAAGACGCTTTGAGGATGATGCCCAGCGTGGCCTCTCCCCATCTGCTCTCCGGCCGGGTGGCTGCGGGATGTCCCCAGGCAGTGGGACGGGGACCTGCCCATCACCAGCAGGATGGGGTCTGTGCTTACGGGCCCTGGAGCAAGCAGCTGGCGACAGGTCCTGAGCAGCAGGATGGGGAGGTGAGGAGTTGGCGTGCGTCCCCGCAGCATGGAGCCTGCCAAACTCACAGAACTTTGTCTCCCCAGTTTTTCTGCTAAGGTCCATCACACACTGCTGCTGCCATCCCCATTTGTGAGGGGGGACACAGGGGAACCCCCAGCCAGCCCCACCATGATCTCAGGGCTGCCTACACCGGGATGCCCAAGAACCCGCCAATTTTGCGGGATTTTTAGTAGAGCCAGTGAGGGGGGGGGGATGTTTTGGGCTCATCTCCAAGATAAACATTTATGTTAGGGGAGGGCAGGAGGGGGGAGAAGAAAAGCATCATTCATCAGCGTTAGGAAAAAGGGAAATCGTATTAGAAGCAGCCGCGGTGATTGCAGATAAGAGCCGCTCTCGCCAGATTACTCGAACTTTAATACAGAACAGGAAAGCCCTGAACAACCAGCGCCTCGCTCCCCACTATGGAAATGAAACCCTCTTCTATTTTGGGAGAGCCCAAAACTTTCCTCTCTCCCCACCTCTGGAGGTCCAGCCACCACAGACGGGCACGGCTGTACCCTGCAGCGGGGCAAGAACATTTGCAGAGTGTTCCCCCCACCAGATTCCCCTCTCCCACCCCATCTCCAACTCACTTTTCATAGTCGACGTTATCCTTGTCGCAGCGCGTGTCCTTGTGCTTCTCCCAGTCCTTGCCGTGCTTGCAGGTGGTGAGCGAGATGATGTCCTTCCCGTTGTGGATGTGGTGCAGCGCGTTCCTGGTGCCGGAGCCGATGCCGGTCAGGTACCGCTTCCCCTTGAACACCAACAAGTATTTTTTTTTCGGGTGGATCGAGTCCTGATACAACCACCCCCTCTCCCCGCCCCGCTGCGGGTGGTCCTTGGAGAAGAGAGGGATGGAGATGTCAAAGCCGGGCCTGAAGCTCTCGGTGTAGAAGCTGGCTTTGGCCAGGATGGCCTGGCCAATGTCAAAGCCCAGGTCCTCGGTGTAATTGGGCCAGGTGCCCGAGTAGAGGTTGAAGATGAGGTGGTTACGGCCACCATTCCAGAGCGGGAAGCTGCGGATTTTCTCATCGACGTTACGGACGTATTGACGCGAGAGATGGTCGCGGTCCAGCGTGTCGATGCTGAGGATGAAGAGGCAGGCTTCCTCAGGGTTCGGGGTGTAGTAGCGAGAACGCTCGATGGAGGTGAGGATTTTGCCATAACTCTCTGAGAGGGGCTGGTCCCTCTCCCGGGGGTACGTGAAGACTTTGAAGCCGTGCTTCTCGCACCTGGAGAAGTCAAAGCAGGTTTCCATCCGGCATCTGCTGTTCTTGTAGACGCTCAGCCGTGCCGCCTGCTGTGCCCGGGGTGATGGCAGCAAGGGGTCCCCATCATTCTCGAGCTCCTCGGGGTCTGCAAAGCTTTTGAGGAGGGACTGATCCGTCCAGCGGGGCCAGTTCCTCCGGACTTCGGCTTTCCTCCCAGAAAAGAAAGCAAAACGGCGCAGCTGGTCTCCTCCAAAGAAGAAAAGCAGGAGCCAAGAGGCAAGTAAAGTCAGGAAAATGTATTTCTTCCTGGTCTGCATAGGTTCACGCGCTGCCCCGGCTCCTCATCGGGCTCGGATGGGCACCGGAGTCCGGTTGAAAGGCCAACGTCCCGAACCCCAGGTGGGCGGTGGGACGGCTCCCCGTCCCCAGGTACTGTCTCGTGGCCCTTGTGGCCCGTGGGAGCGTGGATGAACCCCACGGTCCTCTTGCTGCCCCCACCGACCAGGGCTGCGCTGCCTTTTTGGGGCTGTCCCGCTCTCTGGCTGCGGAGCGGAGCTCGGTGCAGCAGCGTCCTGCTCCCTTCCCTCCAACGCAGCGTTTACTTTGCCGGGCCCCTGTGCCGTGACAATGACATTTCCATCGCCGCTTGGCTCGGCTTCAAATCCCTGGGGAAGGGGAGAGGTCACACCGTCACCGTTGCCCACGACAGCGGCTTTGCCCCAGTCGATGGCCTCGGCGAAGGGCAGCTCCCAGCCGTCGCTCAGCAGCACAGGGATGCAGGCTGCCTGTGCTGGGACCTCACTGCAAGCGGCTCCCCACATCCCCGCGGAGGGACCCCCCCTTCCCAGACCCATTCCTGGGAATAAATCCCCCCAAAGCCCCTGTCTCTCCCCAGCCTGCTCCCTCCACACCTCCAAGCCCGGTCCCCCCGTTACCTTTGGGGACACGCAGCTCCGCGCGGCTTTCGGGCCGC